TATATTATACATCCAACTCTTCAGCTACTTCTCCTCTCACTCAACATGTCAAATTGTGACAAATCCAAAGTATAGTTTTACCTTCTTTTGGTTTGTTTGCCACAACTTGTGAAGTAGGCGTTTTTTCAGGATTATTCCACGAAGAATGTGATTCAGCTGCTGTTGGAGAGAAAATAAATCTGGCATTTACTTCATTGTCTAACTTAAATTAAAGTAGCTGGCACGTGCAATGTTTTACTTCCTTTTTGCAAAAAGTCTCTTAAATGGAAAAAGAAATTAAATCTCAGTGAGCGTAGAGTCAATAAAAGTTTCAAAAAGTTGAAGTCCATGACAGAACGTACAACTTCAGATGTCACACAAAAGCACTTTTTTCTCCACACACACAAAAAAAAGAGCACTCGCTACACCTGCTCTACCGGAAGGCCTGGGGGTCCCCGACTCGAGAAAACAAAGACACAGAGATGTGTTTGTGAACTTTCCAGTGCAAGTGAGCCGAAAATCGAACGTTTTCGCATTGAGATGCATCAAAAAACCTGAAAAGTTTCGAGAGCCTAATCAATTTACCAAAGGGTTTTTATTTGACTGCAGCGCTGGAGACAAATCTTTGAAAAGCCGGGGCTGACATTCTTGAAAAATAAATAAATAAAACAGGAACTTACTGAACCCACGCCTTTGTATTCTTTTGGTCTTTGTTTGTAGAAGCTTTGAACGTGGAGGAGGAGGTGGTTGGCTTCGGGTATCAACCTCAAGTAACATCACGCATGCACATACACATACACACACATCCATTTGTTCTGTGTTTAAAAGAAACATATAATGCTGTTAGACATTATTTTAAGTCAAGGTACTGATTTCAATGCCAAACGTCAAATCAGATGTAAAATGGCTGGGAGGGATTTTTATGCTAATGAGGTGGTAAATATTCTGATGATATGTCTACATGGAGCCTGAATGTGTTTTTATATCCCAGAGAAGGTGTGTGTCTCCCTTGGTGCAGACACGAGGATGGTGCACCCAGGGGCGAGCGGGGCCTGTGCTGGCTCGACTGCAGCGCCTCGCTGTTTTACCGCAGGAAGTAACACAAAAGAGCACCAGGAATTTTTATGAAAATACCTCCAATCCCCGGAGACCTGCGGGCTGACCTGATTATCACCTGAGTGTAATTCCACAGTCGGCAAGGTGCTGCTGCTCCTGAAGCGTGTGTGTGTGTGTGTGTGTGTGAGTGAGGATTCCATCACTGACAGGTATCATTAAGCATCATTAGATGGTTGGAGGAGTCTCACGCTGCTTTTGTTTTGTGTGCGAAGCTGTTTAGTCAGATGCACTCTAGGAAGATCACACCCTGAAGAAAACTCACCGACATTAAAAAACACACATTCGGTAAAAAAAAAAGGGTATTTATCAGTCAAGCTTGTTTTGTTACTGCATGCATTCTTTTGACATGAGCCCTGACTGAGGCGTTTTGGAAAAGAGGAAATCAAATAACAGGGCCAACAGGAGCAGAGCTGCAACCCCCTCCAGCATATACAAACAGAAATAAACCCTGGCTGTCTATATCTAACAATAGGACAGCAACTTTTACTTCAAGGCCATTGCAAAGTTTGAGCAGCCATTTAAAAGGTTTGTGCACATTTGTCTTCTTATGTGTTTAGGGATGCTGGCATTTTCTCATTCATTTCCTTCAGACAACTATTTGTTAGGCTGTGTTTATTGTTTGCTGCCAGGATGTGTCATAAGTGATTCTGTTGCTCTGCTGTTGATCTGTGGGACGATCAAGAGAAGCCACAGTTAACAGGTTCAGCATGTTTAAATGTGGAAAACAGTGAGGGGGAAACCAGTCAGCCCAGTTATCTGCACTGTGTAGCAAGCAAAGCCACAGTACAACTCCATTCATCTCTGGGCCCAATGAACCAGGACAGATGGACCAGATGGGGGCAAAGCGTAGCTGAGTGCTGCCATCTTCTGGCCAGGTGCGTCACAAGGAGAACAATGATCTTTTTTTTTTCGATTAAATGCATCCTAATAAATCTATTAAACTCTTAAACAAACCACTTGAGTAAAAGAAATACAAATTTTTCTTACGCCACTTTGCATGCAAAGGTGATTTTAGGATTACCTCCAGGATGAGAGCTTTCTGATTTTTCTAATCGTAATGTTAGAAGTGATCCCTTGAGGAGCAACTTATAAAACTTTAAAGTTTCAGTAAACTGTGCTTCTGTACAGCAGAATATGCTGAATGTCCTCGGGTGATTGTACAGTAAACAAGGCAGCAGCAGAGAAAAGCTCCTGGCTAACTCCCTCCATCCCGGAGTGAACGCATCACACTAATGCGTGGCGACGCGTGTTGAGTTATTGTGCCGAGTACCAGGCCGCTGGTTCTGCTCACAGGCCCGGTTTGATCTTTTATTTACACTCCTTTTTGCTCAGGATTTCAGGACAATTTTCTCAGCTCTTTACAGTCAACAAACTACAAAGCAAAGGCGCCCGTCTCTGGGAGGCATGTTGAAGAGAGAAAAAGACCGCTGCTTTGGCTGTTTGCTTGAAAAGCAACAAACCTCCGCCCCGCCAAATCGGTTCAGCCACTTTGGACTCCGTGCTGCCCTGGTAAATAGGTTGTATCAGTGTGACAGCTTGGAGAGAAAGGTCAGTGGATTATCTGGCTGAGGGAGGGCTGGGAGGGAAGTAAGGATACAGACAAACAGGCGCACAGGCAGACGGACTCGTAGTCGAGGTGTAGGACAAACCGTTTTGACAGCAAGTACTGTTGCATATTCACTCAAGTGGCTGTCAGAGAAAACAGAGCCAGTCCCTAAAACTATTATTCTGCCATTAGTTTTCTGCAGGTCACGATTGTGGCATAATGCAATAGCATTCATCTATTTCATTCATTTTAGTTCTTAGAGAGCGACACACAATTTAATTACCCGTCCTGCTCTTTGGCGATTGGAGCGGGAGCGAGCGCCTAGGCCCCCTCCCTTGGCTCGCTCACTTCTCGTAAATGATCGAGGGTGCCGAAACAATGATGGATAGAGTCTGAAAAGTGCATTATTTCTGATGCATTTTTGATTATTTCTACCCTTTCCCTTTTTTTCCCCAGGTAATGCAATAAGCCCGATATGCTCTGAGTTCTGTCAGAGACATGGATATTGCAACAGCTCAGCCATCACTTTCCATTGGCAGGAAAGTCATTGTTTCTGAAACAAGGCTTTCTCTGTTTTTAGCTCCTTTACTCTTTTTCTCCTTTTTCTTTTCTTTTTTTCCTCATCTACGCTTCATCTGTCTGTCTGTCTTCCTGCACAGCCGTTGTGATTTTTGTCTGTCTATCTGTCTCCAGCTTGGAGACATTCTCATTTGGACTAGTGCCTTGGAAGCCCCAGCAGACTGCCACAGTGGTTCCTCATCAAAACAATTCCACTGACCTCTTCAAAGTGAATGAATCAATAAGCACTCATATGTGGAGTTAAAGCAGAGGTTAGGCTGATATTTTTCAACTCCAGACACTCCCTTAACCCTAACATGCAGGCCAGAGCCTGAAACCTCTTTTTTTAGTTAACAGAATTCATTCTGTAAATAGAAAATTTCAATCTCTCTAAATACACCACCACTTTTCCATTTCCAGAACAAAACGTGTATAAAAAAATCACAAAACCCCCTTTGGGCTAATATTTTTTCTATATGTCAAAACTGGCTTCATCCACAATCTGACAATGCAAATGCTTCTGATGTTTGAGATGTAGATGCTCCCAGGAAACATCCATCCATATCGCTGCAAAACACTTTAAACCAGAGTTGTTTCTTTCTTTTTATCTATTAGTTTAAAACATATATTTAAAAAAAGCATGACTCTTCTTGGGGTATCACAAGGCTCACTTTATAGATATATTATTAATTAATAGAATAAGTATAATAAGTGTCCATTATTTGTTATAAGGGCAAAAAGAAACAGAACTGATTGGTTTATTGCAAAATTGTGAGCCAAATGTGTTTATTTACCCATTTATTTCATCCAGAGTTGCTATTTTAAACATTTCAGAATAAGTTGCTGCCATGCATTTAAGCACAATGAGCATAATTAATCAAAATAACTTCTTGCTGAAATATAGATATTCACAACACTTGAAGGGAGCCTTTCCTTAAAGTGTGAAACACGACTGAGTTTACTATAAAGAGTAGAGAGTACAAGCAGTTATTTAGCATTTTAAACATCTATACCCGTGTAACAAAGGTTTCCTTTTGGCTTTATACATGTTTTATGATGTCATGTTTTAAACTTTTGTCATGGATATGCATGATGCAGTGTTAAAATCAAATACAGTATAATGTCCTTAAAATAAAAAAAAATCTACAATTAACAATAACCAATATTTTTATATTTTAGGTAGTAAGTAAGTAAGTAAGTTAGAAAGTAAGTCAGGTTTATTTATAGTACTTATCACAGAAAGAAAAACAACACAGTGCTCCACAAAGATCAAGGAAACAAACCATAAAGTCATGAAATCATTTAATGATCTTTAAACAAATGAAAGCTAATTAAAATCACAAATGTCATTATACAGATGTAATGGTGTGAATATTAATTTAAGATTTAAATTAATAGCAAAGTTTATTTGTTAAACAGAAGATTCAGTGAGATTCTTTTCATTCGATAAACTGGAAATGCAACCCTTTTCTGTGTTTCGTTTCAATAATGAGGCAAGTTTAAAAATGAAGAAATTTATTTACTAACTATTTTAAACTGAAAGATTTGAAACGACAATCATAAAATGACAATTCATAGATGGCAATTTTAATGACAATCCTTAACAGCTGTTGTTTAAAAGCAAACCTGTGTTGGATTGAGCTAATTTGAGAATGATGAGTTTTGAATGCGTGAATGAAGTTCTCAGAAGGTTTCTTTCAGAGGGAATGGAAGGTGTTCTGGATGAAATGATGTTTTGCGGATAACTGAGTTATTTTTAGAGAAAACAGCATCAAACGTCATCTGTCGTGTTCTACCTCACCCAAAACAGGACCCCCTTTGTGGATCCGGACGTCAGGAGGATGGGTTCATCCAAGGTGGCACTTCGGCTGGCAGAGTAGACGCAAGTGTCCGATCGTCCGGCCCAGAGATGTCCTACACGGCTGTACGAAGCGTTTGGCAGATGCACGTTTTGTCTTTTAACTTAACTTCAGAAATCAGTGACTCTGGGAGAGTCTTGCGTTAGTTTCGTTTGTTCTTTAGCCATTCTTGTCGGCATGACAGAACAGCTTGCAGAGGGTCATGGAGACGGCCATTCTCCTTTCCTCGTGGTGTTGGTTGAAGAACTGGCCGTGAAATCTGTGATGGTTAGTTTTTACCAAACTCTCTCAGAACACTCCCCCTCTCTCCGGAAGAAAGCTTGGTCATACGTCAAAACATGTGCTGCAGTTATTGTTATCTGAACTCTGTGTTGGCTGACAGGGTGAAGGTCTTCTTTGCTGAACACATCTTTAATCATTATAATAATTATCATTACAAGACCCAAAGCATAATAATCCATTTCATGTAATTAAGATACCTTTATAATGAGCAAAGTGATCATGTGGTAATGATTATTTAAACAGTAATAAAATCAATGAAATATTAATTATTTAATTATTATCATCGTGGCTTGAAGTGTCCTTCTTCTGATGGAACAGCAGATACCGGTGTTATGATCTTGAGCAGACACCGTGGCTCCTTGGGCTTTTATCTGTGGATTCAAAGTACTGTTTGACCCAGCTTGACCCAGCTGGGCAAATGTGACCTTTGGCACAAATCAGAGAACCTTCGTCACGCTACACAGATGAGAAAAACATTTTTAAATGTTGCGTAAAGTCAGATTTGAATAAAAGTGCAAAGCCGTTAAAAAATGAAAATCAGAAAGGGGCATAATTTAGCTGAAGAAAACACAAAGATTTAAGTAAAAGCAGATCCAAACAAAGGGTGTCCAAACTGTCAATACTACGTGAAGATAAAGAAAGTTCAAAGTTGGGGTGTAACAGCGTGAAAGAAGCTTATATCTGGTCTTTAGAACTTCTAGAAGGTACTGGTTTGTGGGTCTGAGGGCTCAGCTTGGAGCATAAGGCTTTAACTTGACCATGAAGAGTCAGGATTCTAAAATTAATCCAGAAGTTATTGGGTAACTAGTACAGAGACATCAGAATAGGAGTGATGTGAGCTCTTCTGTTGTATTGTTACTGTTTTTCAAGTAATACTGCATTATATAAATATTTATAAAGCTTAAATGATGTGTTGCTGTAGAATTTTGATTATTTTTAAAAAATATTTTTAATACTTTTTAACTAATTTAGGTTAAATCTACAAGATTTCCCCAGAGCTTGCCTTTCTAAAATCCTTGTGTGTTGCAGTGTTGTATGAAGCGATTGTGCCTTCCATCATCAGAAAAAAGGTTCAGTTGTGCACCAAAGAACCAACATTTGGCACCGCTGCACCCTTCTCATTCTGTCACATGACCTTGCTGCCTTTTCCTATAAATGTCAGTATTATACATCCAATTTCTTTGATGCAGTCAGGAGCATTACACGCACACAGAGCTGCGCGACACCACTGGGTCACAAACACAGCTGAAGCCGTCCAGGTGAGCTTGGCAGGAGGAGGAGGACTGTAATCTTGACGCATTATCTTGGCATCCCACTTCACACAAAAACACAATGTCACCAGGTAAGGTACAGTACACCAGCATTGGCCAGGCTCCATCATATTAGCAGCAGCCTCTTTAGTAAAATACACCAGAATAAGACTGATCAGTCATTGTTTAATTAGTGCATGTGAAACGTGGAGACCCAAATGGGTCGAATGTGAATTGATTTCCTCATGTTTGAATCGAACTTTGTCCTAGTTTTATTGTGTTGTCGTACACTTAGGCAACTCTTTCAAGTCAGCTGGTGCTGATTTATTGAGTAACGGTGTGATGGCTTTTATCTTTGCAACCTCTGGGTTATCTGTGCAGACGGGGGTCAACTCAGCTGATTTAAAGAAGAAAAGTGTCTGAAATACCAGCTGCTAAAAATATTAGTCTATCACCTCTTCATCTCAATTAGCTAAAGAGTCAGAGTGCACGTTTTCCTAGATTACACAATCCACGGCTAACTTTCTGCTGGAAACAAAAATATTTTAGGATTTTTTTAAGCTTACACACACACACACACACACACACACACACACACACACACACACACACACACACACACGAGAGGCAGGCTGAGGTGCTTCTCTGATTAGTCACCGCTACTTGTGATCCTGCAGGTTTGTAGAGTAAACACACTCCTGAAGACACACACATCCTTTTGTAAAGATGTTAACTATCTTATCTTAACACAAACCATCTCTACTGAAGGTCAACCTCTACTCCTGAGCATTAAGTCAATTTTTCATCTAAAAAGCTTTTTTCTTCAGACTTTGTAGACAACATCTTCATTTCCGGATGTTGGTCTGCGTTACTTTATAATCTTTACAGCGATATCTAACCGTCCTAAGTCACCAGTGTTAGAATAACACTAGAACAGTTTTTATATGTGTTCATTCCTTTAAAAGAAAATCCACTTTTTGGGGCTTTTTATTGTGGGATCTCTCCAGAGGGTTAATAACACAAGGATGGTCCAGGTGGCATATATACAGGGTTTGACACGGCTGATGATGTTCATGTAGAGGTAGATGAGGCATGGACACATTTAAAAAACATTTACAGTTCAATGTTTTGTTCTACTACATTATCAGTAGCTTGACAAGTCACAACTTCAGACTAAACGCTATATTAGGAGTGGGCAATATAGTAAAGATTTCATGTTCTTTTTCACAGAAAATTACAAACATGAGTATACTCAAAATATGTTTTAAATAGTAATTTATACATCCAATCTAATGTTAATAATAATACTTAATGATACTCCTTTTTAAAATTAATATGAACACTGTTATTATTACAATTGTAAACAATTGTGAAGAGCATAACAAAAAATAATATGGTACCACTGGTTGACACGCTTCCCAGATCTCATATTTAATCTTTTTCAGCCCAAACCGTTTGTTGGTTCCATTTAAATGTTTTGCATTACAATCTTCTCATTTTATTGGCTCCTTTGTTGTCTTTCAACTGGAAATCACAACCAAAAGCGGCACAACGTGTCATTGTAACCCTTCTCTGTAACAACAGCTAAGCCAAATGCAAACGCCAAAGCTAATGTCTACAACTAATTTGGGTCATCCTCCCACAATGCCTTGTGCGCTCGAAAACATGGCTGCCCCGTACCTCAAAAATTATTTGAAAACAGCTAAGATTGTGTGAATAAAAAACATTTTGGAGTTTATAACGGTGTTTGCATGTAGCAGAGATATTTTGTAATATCTTTAGAGCAGCGTGTCTTCGGGGATCCTTTTAAATACTTGCAGGATGACAGCTGGCAGATTCAATTATAAAAATATATGTTCTGCAACAATCTTTGGAGCATGTGGTTCTACTATAAAACACATTTATTATGAAGACTATCACTCCATTCATTATGTGCATCTTACTTCTTCATTTCTTCCTCACTTCATGTCTCTTTTCCTCTTCTTCCAAAGTTCTTCCCAACCCTCTTTCGCCACAGGCTGGTGTGTTCTCTCCAGAACACTTCCTATTATTGTTCTTCACTTTGCAGCAGCATGCCACTATGTTTCCTGCCCCGTCTCAGTCTGTGCCTGCACCCATTCATCTCGTGGCCACCTGGCAGGGCGAGCTGCCTCTCAGCATTTCTTCGTTCCACGCTGCTCTGTGGGCCTTCTCCCTCACTCAGCCCCACACGCAGTGAACCTGCTGGGCTAATTAAACAAAAACAAACTCTTTGCATTTCCACTTGCTCTTTGCAAAACCCTGCTTATTAAGCAGTAAAAGTCAAACTTCATGATTCATTAACAAGGGGAAGTCTGAGCAGACTGGACAGATCAGTAGGAGCAGAGGAGAGATGGAGCGAGGGAGGAAATGAGGAAGGGTGTGGGCGGCTGACTTCGTTTAGTGATGTGGCGAAGCGGAACCCAATCTCTATCAGGGTTTGGATTCACCACATGCAATATTTTAAAACTGTCTCACATAGCAGCCCCTTTAAAATGTTATTTATTTATTTTTTCCCAATTTTCCAAATGACTTCCAGATTTTCCATGACTTCAGCTCTTCATTTGTTGGATGTGAGACTTAATTTTCTTCAGCAAAGTGCTGACTGAAATGTTGAAGTGGGTGCTGAGAAGAAGCCCACACCTGATTTGGTGTTGCCGAGTAGAATAAGTCAGGGAAAGGAAAAGCTCGGGTGTAAGAAGACATTCTTTGTAAGTACATCCGTGCACAAATCAGGGAATGAATCCTCTCGCCGGCCTTTGTCTGACGATAAAGTCACTTGAATTTGCCAAATAAAGAAAACAACTGATCTTTGTGGCTAGAAGTGCATCTGAGTGTGTGTTTGGGAGCCAGTATTACATTTATATCATGTTGCCCCCACTGGAAAAGAAATTGTCAAAGTTTGTGAACAAAACAATATATTACAGAGATGCATTTGCAGAAGTCAGATGACTGTTGGCATGTGTGGACTACGTCTGTTTGTAAATACCCGACCTATAAGTGGTTTTATGAATATGTGTGCTGGCATGCAGGTTTATATATATGCAGCTAACATTCTGCAAAGTAGCGCACACGTTTGAAGATGTGCCAGCTTGTCTTTACAGGACGTTAAAAGGTCTGAATGAGTGTGTGTGTGTGTGTGTGTGTGTGTGTGTGTGTGTGTGTGTGTGTGTGTGTGTGTGTGTGTGTATGTGTGTGTGTGTTTCATTCCTTCTTTCTCCCCTCTCCTCCTGCTTTCCTCAGTCTGATGTTTTCCTTCAGCTCTAATGAGTTCTAAGTGGCCAATACTTTCTTCTGCAGGAAACTCGTGTCAAACTAATTAACTTTTAATGAGAGGAAACCCACTGATTAGAGTGTTTTTCTTGGCAAACGAGCTTATTAATTCTGTTGGTTTGAGCAGCAGGGCCGAGGAGTCGGGTGAGAAGAAGGCCTCTCTTCAGCAGTCAGTGCACGTACACACCCACACACACACACACACACACACACACACACACACACACACACACACATCTGAATCCCTACTCAGACTGTTCGACCGGCTGCTGAAGCTTTTTCTTAAACTATCTTTCTCACCCACGAACATGAACACGATTGTCTTCTCCTCTTTAATCACTGCCCAACACTGCTCTCTAGTGGCTGGAAGAGTTCTTAGGAGCAATGCATGCTCTTATATTTATGAGAAACTGAAATTTGTTCATGCAAAAGCAATTAATACTAATGAAGCTCAATATTATTGTGGCAAGGTGGATAAACGAGGGCCCGGGCGGGATTCGATCTCCAGACTCCCAGGTGAGAGTCATACGCTCTAACCAGTCAGCCAAAGGGACATCCCCTTGGCTAAG